CCAGTTGATGTCCCAGCTGATGACGAATGGACTGTTAATTATCAAATAGTGGTTCCACCACTATAACGTCCAGAAATACTTAGTATGGCCCATGAAACGTCTTTATCTGGACACTTAGGTGTTAGTAAAACCTATCACAAAATACTAAATCATTTTTATTGGCCAAATCTTAAGAAAGATGTGTCAACTTTTTGTAAATCATGCCATACATGCCAAATGCTTGGAAAACCAAATCAAAAAATCCCTAAAGCCCATCTTAAACCTATACCTGCATTAGATGAACCTTTCAGTAGAATAATAATAGACTGTGTCGGTCCATTACCTAAAACCAAAGCAGGCAATCAGTATACATTAACCATTATGTGCGCTTCGACTAGATTTCCCGAAGCTATTCCTTTAAGGAATATTAAAACTAAAACAATCGTGAAAGCTTTGATAAAGTTCTTTACATTGGTGGGCCTCCCCAAGTCTGTACAGTCAGACCAGGGATCTAATTTTATGTCTAACATTTTTCAACAAGTAATGCATGAATTAAACATTACACAATTTAAATCTTCTGCTTATCACCTTGAAAGCCAGGGGGCATTAGAAAGATTTCACCAGACATTGAAAAATATGATAAGAACATATTGCTTCGACACTAACAATGATTGGGATGAGGGCATACACCTATTGCTTTTCGCAGCAAGGGAATCTGTCCAAGAATCCCTTGGGTTTAGCCCATTTGAACTTGTATTCGGCCACACAGTTCGTGGACCGCTTAAACTACTTAAAGAAAACTTGCTCTCTATAGAAGAAAATCCAGTGAATCTATTACAATATGTATCTGATTTTAAACATAAATTATTTAAGGCCTGTGATGTAGCTAGGTCTAATCTGCAAGCTGCTCAAACGAAAATGAAGAGCAGATATGATATTAACGCAGACGAACGAAGCTTTGAGATTGATGAAAAAGTTCTCGCTCTCCTTCCTATTCCTGGGAAGCCGTTACAAGCCAGGTATTATGGTCCATACACCATAGATAAGAAGGTAAATGATTTAAATTATGTGATAGATACACCTGGTAGGCGAAAGAATAAACAATTTTGTCATATTAATATGTTAAAATTATACATTGACCGGGATGAACATATCACCCGGCCTCTTTGTTCGGTACAATCTACATCATGTTTGAATACTGAGGAATTGCTTGACACTGATGAATGTATTAATAAAACTGATTTTGGTTTAGCAAAGTTGCATAAATCTGATATAATGAACAATATTGACCAGAAGCTTTCACATTTGAATGAAGAACAGAGAAATGACCTTAAACAACTTATTTGTGGATATGAACATTTATTTTCGGACGTTCCAACACGCACAAACTTGAT